TCTCTCTCTCTCTTTCTCTCTTTCTCGTGCGCGCGCTCCATTTTTCCTTTTTCTCCACCCTCCATCGATCCATCCATTCACCAACCCATCCATCCATCCATCCATCCATCCATCCATCCATCCATCCATCCATCCACCCGTCCCCATATCCTTCCATCCATCCATCCATTCATGCATCCAACCACTCATCCACCCATCCATCCATCCACCCACCCATCACTCCATCTGACCTACATGTCCTCTCTCAGCGTCTGGCTGTGAGACCCCTTATCTATCCACCTACTCTTCCATCCCCGCATCCATCCATCCATCCACCCACCCATCGAACCACCCATCTGACCTACTTTATTTTCCCCCCCCCCCTCCCAGCATCCGGAGGACTGTGAGCTCCAATGGAAATTGGCAAAAAGTGGGTTTCTGTTGGCGACCGAAGAACTATTTGTAAACCCAGAGAGTACCCGAGAGTCGCAGCGGCCCATCATGGAAAAGTCACGGGAAGCTGCTCAGATCGCTCTAAAGCTGAACCCACAATGTGGGGAGGCACATAAGTGGTAAGAGAGGCGGAACTTCATAGTGACATTAAAGATGGTTCCAGTAGGGAATGGGATAGCGGGTGCCCTCATCCTTCGTGACTCATCAGAGCAGAGGAAGATAGGACTAATGCTAACATTTACAACCCCCCCCCCCCCCTTAACTAGTAGAAGCATGTCTTCTTAATAATTATTCACATAGCACCATCCCACATCATCACTTATCACCACCATCATTTCTAAAATCGTCATTTCTCTCAGATCCTTGACATACATCTATAATTATCTTGAACATTGATCTGTAACAGTTACATGTTATAGCAAACTGAAACTATTTTTAAAAATATTTGGTGCAAATTGCTCTTTATTATATTCAGGAAACAAGGCAAACTCTGCGATGTCGAAGAGAGAGAGGTGGTATTGAAATACCCATAATTGTAATATGATGTGCCATTGTTCATTATTTTCAGTACTGATTAGCTGCTACTCCAGTTGTAACGCACAATTAGTTGTAAGTTTTTCTCGGGCTTGTTGGCTGATGTTGTTTCATTTTCAAACTTTCGCTTCATTACGAGAGCTTTTTCTGCATAGGTTTTTTCTCTCCTGAATCTGCTATATTTAGAATATTGTGCAAAATTTTCCTTTTTTTGGTTATCTAAGCATTGGCTATCAAAGCATGTTCACATGAGTCTCTTATTGAAAGAACAAACCTCACCCACCCACTAAACACACAAAAAAAACAGACACACACCCTCACACACACACACA